AAGGCTGTCTTTGCTGATTTTCAACAAAGAGAGCAAGGAATAATGGGTGGGGAGAGTACCAGTGGCTGGATGCGAGAGGAGGGAAAATGCGCACTAAGTTGGCCCAAAGACAGTGAACTCCAGCGACAGATTTGACTGCTAAAGCGCAGGGCTCATAACCTATTAGAAGAACTGAGAGTTCAAAGTCAATGCACGAATATTATTGTGTAAATAAGTAAAGTACTATACCTGAGAGTTCAAAGTCAATGCACGAAGCATGTAAGACTTGTGAACTCTGCACTATGGGCGAGTCTATGTAAACAAATATAAACAATTCCTAGTATGGTATGTGTCCTCAAAGTGTCTTAGAGGTCTGTCCTCAAAGTGTCCTCGAAGTCCTCGAAGTCCTCGAAGTTATCTACTAATATAGTAATGTCCTTGAAGTGTCCTTCAAGTCTTTGAAGTCTTAGAAGTCTTCGACCTATCTGGTGTGAAGTCACCACACAACTAACACTTTGGGACCACCCTGGACATTGACCAGTAATTGATGAATATCCCCACATTTCGAACAAGTGGTATCAACGTAAAAGTAAAGTGAACATTTTTGTGATTCGCTCCATGAATGTACCTTGGCTACTGTACAAACTTGATGTTTCTTTACACAGATAGCCAACCACATCACACAAGATGATTCTTAGATAACTGATCAAGATGGCATTAAATTTTTGAGAGCGACAAAGAGTGATATCATCATTACTTGCTTATCGCCAGTTTGTTCTCTCGAAAGATTCCAGGTTCCATGCTTAACTTTGACATTTTGTACTTTGCTTGCTATGTGGCTATTATAATTCATCCAGTTTGAGTATCTGACTTCACTCTATTTTTCCTTGAAGCTTGATTTTGAGGGTTGCGGGGGTCTTTTCCTGATCACAGACTTGTGTGGAGAAATCAGGAACTCTCCATGCCTCTATAAGGTCAAACATGCCATTGTAATGATTGGTGGCAGAATTATGTAGATGCTTGTGATTGTGTACTATATATTGATATACATGACATTCTAATTTGTCCCTCAGTTCACTGATGACGAATACAAAATATTGCTCGCTCACTTGATATATCTGATCATAGGACCATCATAGGAAATTGAAAACACTGTCCCTGTCATCTTCAAGTTCTCGCCTATCAGGTTTGCAGTAGTCTTGCTGCGATGAATAAGATATGCCTGACTGCCTCGCACACATCTCGACATGTGAGGTGATAATCAGCAGATGAAAGATCCCGAGTTGCAGTCACAACATTGACCAGGGTGATCGTCCTCTTCGATTCCATGGGTGCCATCTGAAACACATGCAAGGTCCACCAAGATCTTTTCCTGGTATCTCACCATCAACGATGCATAGAACTGTTTGAAGATCCCAGAGTCGTATTAGACTGTATGCAAAGTTTCCCCTTGTCTTCTGTCTTGCAGTCCGCTGTCACAGTATTGATATAGAAATCCATCAGGCCCTCGACACCTGGCGATCATTGTGACTGTCCCTCATCAAAGTTCTATTTGGGGGAACGTCGACCCCTTATGTGAGGTGACATGTTGATAACAGCTTTACACTTTGCACTGGATTCTCTACACTCATTTGTTGTATGCTTCGTCGTGCAGATCTTGGCAAGCATAACGCACATCAAGAGCTTTGAAGCCTGATACTGTTCAATGCCGAGAAAGACTTGGCAAAGCAAACCTCTGCCGGAAGGTAGTGCGGCTATGAGATATGTTACATTTAATCTGTCTTTGAGACATGTGTTGTGCTTCAGGGGACACTATTATCTTGGAGAATAGGACTAGTTGAGTCCAAGTTGAGTCCATGACATCTCCAGGGCATGCACCAGAAGGAATCTGGTTTTTGAGTAGAGCGGCCAGCTTAGCTTGACCTAATGATAATAGGTGATGCAAGGCGAATAGCCATCAAAAGTTCTTCGAGAAATGTTTCACTAGCATCGCACAAAAGGATATGCTGCTCCCTGAGTGGCGCCAATGTTAATGAAACCTTGTCCAATTGAAGCATCAATGCTATAGTCCAGGGGAGAGAAACAGACTGGGGATTGGTAGATGTTAGATCGTCTGCTCCGTGCTTAACAAGTTGGCTAGCTACTCAAGCTCAAGGTTTGGTCATGTGGATCTGTAGCAAGAGTGTTTGTAATGATATCATGGTATGTCAGCATGAATGAATATGGAATATACCTCAGTCGGTGCTTGTAACGCGACTGTCTCAAGCATGCTAAAAGAGCAGACAATTTTATGCCATAGTAATAGCTGTACCGTAGTACATCGTCTGTGTTGCTGGATGCTGTATATATAGTCTACTACAAGATTAGACAAGCGGGTAGTATAGGAAAGATGATAGATGGTAATTAGCGAAATATTGATGGTGGGGGTAGAATCAGTCTCAAAGTTCTTCTATGCTGCCAGCCCAAGTACAGATACACAAATCCATGGCTCAGGCGAAAGACAAATGAATAGAGATGCATCAATGAACACTGTAATTGGCCTGAGCAGAAGGCAAGGGAAAACACAGGATTAAATGGAGTAAAAGCAGCTCCCTGCAGTCAACAGGGAGCCCTATAAAATTGCAACTAGTAATACATAGTAGTGAGCCTGACCAGATGCCCGAAAATGCGAGAGCGTTAAGAGCCTAAGAGTGCCGCAAGAAAGCAGAAACAAGTAATAATACATAGAGTGCCAAAGAGAAAAACTTCGAGGCAAAAAACCAAAAACTGTCTCAATCGCTATACAGTATTGGAAAGGGAGGGAAGGGAGGGGAAAGGTAGTTGAGTTGGAGTTGGTAGTTTGTGTTGATAAAAGCAAAATAAATATTTGAAAATGAACGAAGAGATGAGAAGAGATGCACCAGACACACCAAATCACATCAGAACATCATGAACAGAAGTTTGTCCATGGAACAGTAAAGCTTGTAGCAATACTGGGTTTTACAAACGTAGCGCTCCCACGTGGATGAGCGCCAATGTCCTATACGCTGGATACTGGCTGGAGGAACTCCTGCACCAGCAAGCAAAGTTGCGCACAACGAGTGACCACCAATGCTGATGGGGAAGAAAGAACGCAAACACCGCATGAACCACCCCTGCATAGGGGGTTTACCATTGCACTGTAACCACAAGAAAGGCTGAAGCAGGAAAAGAGAATTGTGCATGCGCAGATATGCTGTGAATGGACTGAGAGGATTGTCAGGTCCTGCCGAGCATTGAATATGGACCTGATTCCCTTCAAAATGCACATCTGCTTTGTCATGTGGTAGTAGGAAGATGTAGCAGTTGTCATCAAGACGAACAGAATGACGGAGAGATAGTTTCACGTAATCTTGAAGCTCAAGACTATCAGGCCAAACTAATTCGCCTAAATGCATGAGTCCAAAAAAGCCAGATAAGAGTTGAGCCATCCAAAGATTGTCATCGAAAGACCAAGGTCTGGGTAGGGTGCTGATGACCCGAACTAAGTCTTCGTGCAACAAAGGTTGTTTGCGCATAACAGGCCTCCCAAAACGCCAAGCAGAGCCTTGCAAAGAACACTTCACAAGTTGTGATTGCCGAACATTTTGAATAGATGGGAAGTACGGCTTGAGTTGACTGACAATACCAGAGAGATAACATTCAACCGAATGTGGTTGAATATGCTGACACATGTAGACAATATAGAAAGATAAAGTATCAGGAGTCAGGTCAACAGGGAAATGGTGTGTTGCACAGAAGGACAAATAAGAGTTGAGGTGAGAGGAATACATGCGAGTCATTGAGGGATCAAGGGCGAAACTGAGGGAAATAGAGCGCTCAAGGATGAGTCGCTCTAAAGACCAAGCTTCCCTTACAGGTTGCCTGGCACCAGTGGTGAAAGGAATCATTTTTAGCTGCCCCCAGTGCATTCCGAGGGGGTTGAAAAGACGAGATGATTAATCCCAGTGAGACTTCGCATGCTTCATCATTCTTCCAATGTGAGAGATGATCTGCGACCTCATTGTGTGCTCCAGGGACGTGAAAAATGTGTAAGTCAATTTCTGAGTTGAGAATGACATCAACGACGAGCATGAGGAGCCAGTTATAAGGTGGAAGCGCGGCTAAAGTGTTAAACATAGCCACAGTATTCATATTGTCGGTGAAAACTGCAAGACACTCGTGAGGATGCATTCTCCTCACTGTGTCAATAATGGCAGCTGTTACTGCGAGTGCTTCAAAGAAGAAGATAGTGTTGGATGAGATAGTCCTGGGTAAAGGAGCCTGGAAGCCTTGATTTAAAGAAGGATACCAGAAACTCATCCCATTTCTGGACATGTCAGTGTAAACTGAGAGCATAGCTTGAGACATGTGATGAAAGTCCCAACTGACTGACCAAATGAAGTATACTCTGTCAGAAGTTACAAGATGTTGCATGATCCACTTGAGTTCTCAAACGACATCTCTATTCACCCATATCAAAGCTCTTTGCTCCAACTTGCCTGCAGTTTTGGCATATAATGCTGAAAGACCAGGACGAAGCAGAGGGTAAACATTTAGCGCCCAATTGAGATGCCCTGCAAGACGTTGGAGATCTCGCAAAGACCATCTGGTTCCTTGAATAGCAAATCCACGAATTGACTCCACGAGATCCAGGCACGACTTATCTGACATCCTGATGCGCATAAGATTGGGATCAACATCAAATCCTATAATAGGTAACTCTTCTCCAAAGACTTGCTTACGTTCTTCATGCGGAATACCAAGACGGTCCCACAATCAAAGGAGTTTGCAGAGGTTGCAAGGCAAGATCTTTTGGTAGGGTGTGTACATCTCCATTTCCTCCTTGCGTTGAAATGAAAATGAGTTGTCCACATAGATGTAGAGATAGTAGATGAGGATTTTGACAATAGCAATCCAGATTACCAGTGACATGAAAGCGTGATAGATGCGTTGAGAAGCACGACCACCGAAAATGTTACAGCAATCAACAAAGTGACTATTTTCGAACATGACGACTTGCTTCACTTGCCAAAGGGGATGCATCGGCATGTGATGATAACAAAGGCGTGGAAGAGCCCTGACATGTGCGCATTCCAACTAGTGTATTCTTCCCATCTCTGAGGGAAGACGAAGGTAAGCACATTGATATACTTTGTGAAGGCGATGTTATGGTCTGAGGCCGAATGAATTCCAGCAGACGATTTGCTCGCCCAAAATGAGAGCTCGACTTTATCATCGATGATGTGAGTCTGCTTGGGCTCCAGGTCCGTTGAGTGGGCTGCTTCAAGGACCTTTCCCAAGTCGACAACCTTCCATTGGACGATGTTGAGCCATTGCTCGGGAGGGAAAGGTGGACATCCAGGTGTGGATAAGATGTCTCGCATGACTCCTTTGGGATCAACTGAGAATTGTTCGAGCTGCTCAAAGGTTTGCTTGATATCCAGTGCCAAAGAGGCAATGGTGTTGACTCGTTTTTCATGCCACGGGAATTTGGTGGTGTCAAGCTTTCCTTTCGAGCGCTTGGAGACTCGCTCATCCTCATCAGAAGACTCGGAACTGTCCCGTCCTCTTCTGACCCTATTCTCGACCTCTTGCTCATCCTCTCTAGGTTCAGAAACTCTCCCTTCTGTTTCCCGATGCTGGGATAATTGGTTAAACTCAAGTCCTCGCTCGGTTGCCTTCTCATTCGCTCTATCAACGGAATCGAGCATATTGACATAGACAGCGAGGGCGTCCGGGAGACTTCCCCCAACTCGGACGGAATTCGACTCAGGGAGGATTTGCCGTAGGGCAAGGATGAAATTCGATTTACCATTTTCTCGCCTTCGATATTGTTCAATGAGCTCGTTGCACCTCTCGACACATACCGAGTCCGAAAGACCTGTTGATTATTCCGACTCTGAGGATACGGTTTGGGACGTGAGACCTGTTGGTTGTGCCAACTCTGAGGAAACGATTTGGGAGGTGCTGGAAGCAACTTGTGATGGCCCAGCGAATCCATTGTCAGACATGAGGAATTTGTTTCGATGAGAACGAAGTGAATATAGTGATTTAAAAACGACTCTAGCGAGACAAACGAGAGAAGGTTAGCACGAAGGTAATCGTACAAGAAACTAGATACCCACCTGGCGAGACGACGAGAGAAGGTTAGCAAGAGGTGGGAACCCCTTACAGTCGTCGTCCGCCAGGCCAAGCTTGAAACTCCGCCTTAGGAGGGAAGGAATTTGAAAACAAGCTGAGACATCGAGAATGGCGTCACCATCCCGACAAACCAAAGGCCAAGGATAAACACGTGAGACTGCAAGGACTGTAGTAAGCCCCGACAACAAGTCCGCACGCTGGCCAGAGGAGGACGAACCTCGTGCGGACTGACCGCGTGAAACACGCAACCGCTTACCAATTACCTTTGTGTAACTTACATTAAACCCAAGGAACGACGGAATGAGAATACTCAATGTCCACGGTTCCACCAAACCAAAAAATATCCGAGTCACACATCGCGCATGGTGGTAGTGACCAAAAATACATTCAAATCAGCTTGTCAGCAACAGTACTGCAACTACAAGCCACAACATAATACAGCACGCGTGTATGATGATGTCCACCTGGCAATCGCAATATACACAGTTAAAAGTCCACCAGTCCATATTCCAGAACAAGAGAATAGTGATACTTTTTAGAATCCCAGCCCTTCTAAGCGGCGAAGCACATCGTCGTGTTCATAGAAGTCGTCATCCCCTGGAACCTGGGATCCTCGGTGGCAAGTTGCAGCATGTTTCCACCTAGAGCAGAAGTGAATCTATCATTCGCTATGCCTCGCATGTGTCCTACCAGAACAGTTCCTTGACCTAACGGCAATGATGAGAAATGTCACGAGATATCATACTGACTTCATACCTTCACCTCGCAATCTTTGATGCTTTCGACGGGGACCCACTTCTTGCATTTATGACACTTTCCTTCAAGAATCTCCGATCGCTCAAGTTTGAGCGTGTTGCGGCGACTACTTGTCCTGTATAACAGTGGAGGTGAGAATGGACGTCCGGTAGTTGCTGACACTCCTTTCAATGCGAGAAACAGATTAATGGGTGAAGAATCATTCAAATGTTCCTTACCATGCGCAAACTGCATATGATAGCTGAAAAAAGTCAAATGGAATCATATAAGAAACTGAAATTCTCTGGAAAAAATGTTAGCATGATTGCGTAGGCTGTGAGGGAAAAGTAAGTGACCACTTAAACGCAGAGAATTTCGTTGATAACCATATTTTTTGTCCCCGTCCACCGCGCAAAGGGCTTTCGACACAGATCGGACATAGTCCTATCTTGGACCTACCTATACCTTTGACAAAGCGGGGAGTGTACAGATCTCGTGGATCTCGTGGAGGATTACAGATACCGCCAGGATGTTTCAAGAGATTGAAAAGAGAAGCCCTGCAAATGGTGAGCGTCAGGTAACAAGCAATAAATAACTTACTCCTCGGTATCAAGTTGCAGAAACGAGCTTATAGGATAACGCCGATAGAATAAAGGAAAATCGGGGTGACGAGAAACCTCCGAGGGAAGGCGACGCTGTGATGGTATGCCGAGATATTTAGGCTCCTGAATCTGAGAGGTAAGGTCGACAGCAGTGGGATCGCCGGAGGTACGTGCGCGTTTTGTCCGGCATGAAAGTCGTTTCTCATCGTGATCGTCCGGAAGAGGGTGCTTAGAACTCTGCACGAGAACCGCACGGCTAGCAGTACGAAGCGAGCGTCGAGAAGTAGAATATAGCCCATGGTTGTCTCTTGAATGTCGCGCAGTACTCGAGTTCTGTCCCAAAATGGGCGAGCATAGTGAAGAAGCGGAAGACAATCCACCAGAAACGTTATCGCTAAGGGGGCGCTCGGGAGACGGAAGGGGTGTGAGTGCAGAGAGAGAGGAGACAGGAGACCAAGACCGCTCGCTGACATGCATGGCAGGACTCGAAGCAAAACCTGGAGAAAAGGTAGGATGACCGAAGGAATGTAACGAAGGAAGCTTCTCCATCAGCGACCATGTACTGGGAACACAGGATCCTCCAGAAGACTGATTGGATGGGTGTCCGCTTTCAGGTAGAAACGTAGTGATATTGTCGTCAGATATCCTTCTAGCTATAGGAGACATATCTGGATCGGAATTGTGCCATGATTGTGACAACTTAAAATGTCGATCGAATGGCGTTCCTTCGGCATTAAGCGTTGACGGTGACAGGCCGCAGCCAGGTAGAGGAGGGATCTTTGGAAGGGGACTCGGCGAAGAGGATAACTGTTGTTCTACCCAGGATTCAGTGTAAGGTGCAGCATACACACGAGACAGTTGCTGAAAGGCTGGCGAAGAAGCAGACATAGTATACCGGCGTGAAGGAGTAGATGGCATTGATATGGATCGAAGGAAATTTTCAGCTCGAGGCAATTGGAGAGAAATGTCTTGTCCTGAACTGGGAGCGATAGAACCCATGGTTGAGTGTCGCACTGACATGGATACCGGGGGAGCATCAGAGCATATAGTCATAGCGTGTGCGTATTTGTCGCGTTGGAATTGCAGTCGCGCTGGACTTGTAGTAGGATTACTCGAGGGAAATTCGAGGGAACCGTAGTAATGAGACCCATCGATTTCGCATAACATTTCTGAAAGATCCAAGTCAAATTCAAGTATGAGTATTTGTCGGTGAATTCATTTTGACCAAGCCACTGAATAGGCCAAATTATCGCAATAATAATGGTACACACCAGGTGGAAGGCTACAACAGCTTTATCAATATAGATGAGGAGGACAAAGCGATATAAGTATGTATGTTCAATGGAGGTCAAAAACAGGTCAAAGGATGCTGCCAATTTGTCTTCTAATACTTACGAGACTCGGAGTTCGCGGAGTCCGTAATTCGATACCGGCACACCGGCAAAGGTCACTACCCTGCACGCGAGCGGCTGCAACTAATTCATGCTTTCCAACAATGATTCTCTTACTTCTTCTGTATAACTGTTTTCTCTTCCTATCACTTCTTCCTTCAGCAAGAAGCTCGGCGTTGACTACTGCCATTGCAGCAAATGAGCGTTTATGTTTCTATGTTGATGCAGACAAAGCAGGGGAAAAAATTGGGGTGAGCACGAATGGTTGTGTTTGTCGAGTTACACTGAACGTCCCACGTGAAGTTTTACTTTGCAGTGTGTTATGCGGTGTTGTGCCGGCTCATATACTCAATGTCCCACAAACTAGGTTCAATCTGGAGGATCGTTCGACATAGACTTCGACGTTAAGGATCCTAATGAGAAGGTCATACTTGACGGTAAAAGCGAAAGGCAAGGCGACTACGTCTTGACTGCCAACACCGTCGGAGAGTACTCGTTCTGTTTTGAGAATGATATGTCGACTCTCACGGTGAAGCTAGTTGACTTCGATATCATGGTGGAGAGCGAGCCTCGCAGGGAAGCGCCTGCCAAGCCAGGACAGGTGGCGGATCACACTAGTGCACTGGAGGAGAGCACATTTCGGTTGAACTCACTGCTTTTGAATATCAAACGTACTCAAAAATAGTATGTTCAACTATTGTCTCAAGTTATCATCATGCGTACTGACCTTCTTCTCAAAGTTTCCATACACGAGAGAACAGAGGGTTTTCCTTGGTGAGGTCGACACAAAAGTTGGTGGATATCCTCACGTTTATATGACTGGGTCACTCACAAGCAATATAGCCGCCTCTTCTGGTATATGGTTCTGGAGAGTATGGGCATTGTGGGCATGGCTGTGTAAGTGCAATTCAGGTGTAATTCAACCACAGCTGAATGATATTCAGCCTTCAGGTGTATATCCTCCAAACCTTTTTTACGAAAACAGGTCGTCGATACAAAGTATAGTTTCGTGTGCCGGCATCTGCGTTTATATATCTCCTATTTTCCTCCGCCATTCCACGTTGGCCCTCAAGCAGCATCACGTTTTGGTTGCCCTGACCTGGTAACTACGATTAATATGACCAGTGCGAGCGTTGGCATCTAATCGAATCCCACTGAGCTCTGATGCAAAGGGTGTAAGTAAGTACGTTCTTACGATCTGGATCGATGGATGCACGCAGTAAGGCATGCGCATCAGCTTCAGAACTGATTACCAGGATATGGTCCCGTTTTTGCCCGTACGCGTGGATCCCAAGATCCAAGCTCATGATAAGCTGCAACCTCTTGAATCCAGCTACGCCTCTCGTACTTAGGGCAAGCGGAGTCCGCTTGGGGGATTTAGTCACGTTTTACGACAATCCGAGTCACGGAATACGAAACTTGCAGTTACTCTGAGTAAGTCATTCAAAGCATACTGCTTACTTGTCTCGCAAGTCATCCATGAATATTAGCGTGAAATCCCAATTGAAATTGTTTGAACTCTTATGACCGAGTCTAAGTTCCTTGATTTCAAATCTGAGCAGAAAACCTTGTACTTATGAGACTAGTGGGCAAGCTGGCGGAAGTATACATCATTGTATCAACCTCTAGTGTCCCAACATCTCCTGGGCTTTCTCTAATCATCTGTATCGATCACCGTCACACAAGCTACGCACTCTTCGAGCCGATCTTCAGAGGCCCGTACAAAACAAGATCCTGAGCGATCCACGTCGCTCGATCCCTCTGAAAAGAATATCATTGTACGTGGTCCCACGTCAATTTGTGCCAGCCTCATGTTATTGCAATAACAGCTTGAGGTTCCTGTGTTCTTCCCAGGTCCCGCAGTACATCACAGACTACGATGAGTTCAGAGCCAAGGCGTCAGAAACATATATGTTGTTGCTGTGAATGAATAGTATAATGAGTACATATATGCATATCCTGGCGCGTATACTCAACCGCCTTTTTCGCAGA